AAATGCCTATATAGGTTTATATGAACCATTTTAAACATGATAACCATAAAGCAAAATAGCATAGATTTTCTTGATTGAATAACAGTTCTAACTTTTAATACAAATCAATTTGTCAGTGAAGACAAATTCTAAATTTTCACTTTCTACTGCTTAGTATTATACACTTTTGGGGAATCGGTTAACATTTTTGTTGTTGTTGTTACTGTTTTTTGAGACAGGGTTTCTCTGTGTAGCTTTGTAGACCAGGCTGGCCTAGAATTCACAAAAATCTGCCTGCCTCTGCTTCCCGAGTGCTGGGATTAAAGTTGTGGGCCACCACCTCTGGGCCTTGTTTAACATTTTTTTTTAGTTTTATGTTTTCATTCATTGTTAGAAAGCAAACAGTAATAGGCAACTTGCAGACATAAAGTGAAAATTAACTAAGAAAAAGCTTCAGTCCAAAAGCACATGTTGAGGCTCAAAAAAGAACTCCTTGCTGTACATGAGCTGAAAGCGTAGACACTAGCTTCATACCCAGATTTCTATATAACCATACAATAAAGTCATATAGATAACCTTCAGGTAAACTATAATAGCTTATATTTTAAGTATGTTTAACGAAAACTACTAGAGGATGTCTTTTGTGGGGAATCTTGAGGAAAATTCTTATGACCTACTATAAAAATATTAAATGGGTGGTGTTACATTTGAGAGCATGAAGAACTTTATGTTTATTATGTAGTATGTTTGAAAAAAACAGAGATGTTAGAAATGACAGCAGTCATCAGTGGCTTTTTGTGTAGTCCCTACTCTGCAAATATTTAAGCATGTAATGAAACCATGTATATGGGCTTGCATAGGGACCGGTATCTACCTGAGACTGATAAATATCTGTTGGCTACTTTGCAAAAGCTCCTTTACTCCCCAGCTTTGTTGAGAGCTGTAAAGAAGGGCAACATCCTACCAGGTCCCTGAGACTATCCTCTCTGTTACCTGCAAGGGCCGTGTTAGAAGAAGACTATAGAATTTACCTTTCTTAACTCCTCCTGCACGATCACAGTTAGTGAACAAAAGAAGCAGCATTCTAGAAATATGCATGTGGAAATAACTAGATTTTTCATCTTAATGATAACCAAGAATCTTGACTTGTTTTTTTCTTTTAAAACAGTGAAAATAATATATGTATGAGTCCTCACTTCCAATTCACTTTTTAGAATCAACTGACCTTGACAACACTAATACATGATGAGGATACAGCTCTATTTAATAATACGAAAGGGAATGGATATCAAAATTCAATAGAAATGTTAAGAGAAAAATATAATATAATTTAATATTTACTTCTATGAGAACATGAGGAAGCCCGAGAGAATGTATAAGAAGTAAAAATGTCTGAAGTAAATTTATTTGATACAGGGACAACCATGTGAAGGGACCAAGGACTTCTACCCATGGAAAACTGATAAAGCCTTTCCTCTAGTCAGATCAGAAAGGCAAAGCCTTGGTTCAAATACTAGTGTTTACAAATAAAGGCAGAGTTTTTGTTCGAGGACTAGTGTTTACAAATGGTTGACTGGTGTGTGTGCATATACCAGCAATTGCATCTTCCTCCTCTTGGATGCCAACAGCTGGACATTGCTCACCTACAGAGCCCTCCTATAGAGACTAGCTAACCCTGTCCCTGTTCTGGACATACCAAGCAAGGTGAGGTTCTGGGTTGTTTTGGTAGTTGGCACCACTCCATTAAAGTGCATATAGTCAATCTGACCTCAGCTTTTCTGTACATGTGTCTGTATGTCTGTCCTTTTTCCATTGCCTTGCCAACCCTACTTAGATTTCCTAGCAGGGTCAAGGCACTAAGCCATCCTGGATGAGGACTAACACCTTGGATTTTCAGATGAGTGTTCTTAAAATGTTCTTAAAACCATTATGCCACTCATACTCTAAGTTCAGTACCATGTAATTTAAAGAAATCTTAATAGCTTTCATGATTTCATACATACAAAGCAAAAATCAATAAGGCATATCTTAGTGATAGGATGTCAAGAAGAATGTTATACTTGACTTGGGGTATGCATTGCTTTTATTTTTATTATACATGGATAATTTGTAAAATAATTTTAAAAGATCAAATATGTATTATGTTAGACTGCAATTAAAGCTAATCAGTAAAAACATCTCAATAAATATTTTTATTTCAAAATAATAGATCACACTATTAACACATAAGGCATCAATGCCATGACAAAAAAAAGCCTTCATCTTCCATGGCACCCCTTTATAATATCAAAAATACATGATCAACATCAGTTACTTTGAGTTGGCGAGAAAAGTAGAATGGAAAGCCAGGAAAGAATCACAGAGAAATACACAGCAGAGGAAGGATACATCTTTGCTTCTTACTCATATTTGTTCGCAGACTGTGTATGAAGCAATCACACAACAAGTCCAAGTAATGCTAGTTGTTTCTGAACCACAGCGAAGTCACTAAGCTTTAGATCCAAAACCAGTGCTGCTCACATCTCTAGGTAAAAAATCAAAACAAACAAACAAAAAAGACAGTAGTTCAAGATAAAATTCATAAATATTCTGCATACTTATGAGCTTGTAATTGAAAGGTTAAAACGAAATCAAAAAGCATTTGTGGAACTCTGAACTCTGAGCAAACAAAACATATACTTGCAGCATTTCATTCATTTTTGAGGTTGATTCCAAATTCTTTATTAGTTACCCGTGAAAGACTCCTTGTCCACAAAATCAACATTATGGCATGCCAAATTCCAATAAAAAGATTAGTCTAACAATAGCCTAGGAATATTAAAGTTCCGTACCTATAAAACATATCCTAACATATATACAGGCTTCTACACAGCAACCAGCATACTTAACTAAGCAAAGCCGTAGTTAACGCTTTTAAGTGATGGATTTTGGAAAGCAATTCTGTGTGTTTGCACTAGAACCTTCCCTTTGACAACACTGATGTCAGTCAGGCAAATTAATTCCAAAGTTGTATGCCCATAAAAACTAAAAGAGAGATTTTTATAGAATACTGCATGGACCATAAAATGATATGGATGAAAATAGCCTGAAATTCAACCCTGTTAATTAACTGTCTTACAAATCCCTGTGTGCTCAGAAAAGCCCATTGAGAATCCGTTTTAATGTCCTCATCATGCTCACAATTTATGCCCCATTTTAGAGACGCTAATGCCATTCCAGAAAACTGTAAGGATGTGTCTTATTCTTTAGTGCACTTAGATCTAGGGGATAATGTTATATCTTGCTGCAACAGGGGAACCATTGACAAGCATTGTGAGTCTTTTTTTCAGGTCACATTTTTGTGGTAGCTTGACTTGCTGCAGTAGAATTGGATGTTCAAATCGAAAGATCTTCTAACAGATGTTTTCTCTTTTGCTCTGGCCATTAATCCAGATAAGGGTTTCATGTGTATACACTTGAGAGACAAAGACCAGAATTTTTCATTATGCAATTGTTTAGAATATGTCCTTATTGTAAAATAAATACTTAAAAGAAAACAAGTGTGTGAGTGTTTGTGTGTGTGTGTGTGTGTGTGTTTAGATCCTTAAGCTCTCGATATTCAGTTATTATTCACTTATTTGACTTCCCTCTAGAAACAAAGGAAAGGACGGCACAAAAATTTTGGTACGCAAGGCTGTTTGTTTATACTTGCGCCTTGAAAGATATCTGCTAGCTTGGATCAAATTGGGCCCCAAAACAGAATGTTAAAAAGGGAGATGATGGGCTCAGATATTTTAAGCTTTCGATAGCAAGGTAAGTATCTGGGCATTACAAAATCAAGGGACCCAGCAGTTGTGTGAGTGACAACAACCAAGCCAGGGAGAGCTTGGTGTCTTGCAACAGCCTTCTAGTCTTCTAGATCACTGATCAGACACCTAGTGAGAAGCTGAGAGAGAAGACAGCTTGCCTTGAAAGGCCAGCACGTTGTATTTCATGGTCACATCAGGAGCTCCAAATGGCTGGAAAGGAAACAACATTGCAAAGAGAGCTACACAAACTCTACAGCAGTTTCCAATGCTCCCCAAGGGGGCAGTTTACCAAAAATATTAGGAAGCTTACACTGTCCCTTAATCGCGTGAATCTTCCACAGATAACAGCTGGCACCATGTGGAAGAGATTTCCACAAAGTCTGAGAACGATCCGTGATCAACAGCATCGCCTCAGTCCGTTCAATGTCTGCCTTCTCACATGGTCAGGGCAAAGCAATTCTAGTACCCAAACCACACTTAGATCTAGGGGATGATGTTATATCTTGCTGCAACAGGGGAACCATTGACAAGCATTGTGAGGTTTTTTTTTTTACATTGAAATCAACAGTGCGGAAAGTTCAGGATTTCTCTTTGTCTGTATTATCTTCGTCTTTATTGTTATTTTCTCTCACACATGCTATCCAAGCGCTGTACCCCCGAGCTGAGTCCCTAGCCTTTACCGTCATTTTAAATTCAAGAAATCATACTAAAGACAGGCACTGACAGAATGGGTAGGGAAACACATATAGAATACCTGGGAGAGAGCAAATTAAGGCAATTATTGTAATTACATCAGCAGAGCCCAAAGAAGCATCTGGCTGACATTCTCCACCCGTCCCTTTGGGTGTAATGGCCTTCCTTCTTATCAGCAGAACCTCTTGTCATGCTCTGTGTTTGAGAAGTTTTAGACAACGTGGAAATGACCATCTGCTGCTTACTTTCCATTCAGAAATATTCTTTCCTGAAATGGCATATTAAAAGTGCTTCCTTCAAAGAGTAACAATACGATTTATCAGCATTATGAGTTTATCAACTTTCCTTGTATTGAAGAACTCAAGGATTGTTTTCTTCCTTTAAGATCAGTTTGACAGGTTTGTAAAGACAGTCTTCATGTTCAGTTTTAAGCTCATCAAGAACTGAAAATTGGACCACAAATTAGCTCTGTTTAATTTGCTATGAAACTAATTAATCGTGGTTTACACATAGATAAAAACAGAATCTAGAGATCTCATGTAAATAAGCAGGACTAGTTTATTGTATTTTTTGAGACAGTCTTACTCTATATTCCAGGCTGTCTGGGAACCCACTATGTCCAAGCTGGTCTTAACCTTACATTGATCTTCTTGCTTCGGCCTCTCAAGTGTTAGAATCAATGCATGACTCATCAGGCCTGGCTTTAAATGGGCTTCAGTTTTATTTTACACGCTCTGTTGTTGCAGTTTGAGCAACATGAGTGAGATCTACTCATGGAAGTAGATGATTCCCTTCTTATTTCAACACCTTCTTCAAGCAGACTAGGAACCAGAAGTGAATAAACCTCCAAAGGATAAAGTTTAATTTTCTGGGAGTGTGCCTTCTGCATAGACGGCCTGAGAGTCACAGGAAATCAAAGCACAAGGGACTAGCTACAACAAACAAAATGTGTGTTCTTGCTTGTACTTTGTGGCACAGGAAACCAGGACTTCATGGTCAAACTCTTTATTATACAGGGCGAGGCACTTTTCTTACTTTCACCTAAGAATTCTGTGACATGCTTGCTGTCCCTACCTCATCCGCCATCACCGTGTTTTCCTTTTAATAAAGCTAACTCAACAAATTGCTCTGATAGCCACAAGAACTCATTCACAAGAATACACCAACTCACACGGTTCACCCATAGCCCTCAATAACAACGCAAGGGTGTACATTAGACTCCGTTGAGCTTAAGAATGCCCAACAAAATCGCTTTCTCACTAGCTCATCCCTTCAGTCACGCCGGTTCCTGGCTCCAGTCCTCTTTAAGAATGAATCTGCTTGTCTTTGGAACTTACTAAGGCAACACCTAAGTGGAAGGGTGGGGCCGTTTCAGGGGGCATGAGTATAATTCAAGATCTTTCTTGGGTTGCATTTCCCATCGTTTTCTGACTACCTTGCCCACAGTACCTCCCATAGATTACTCATTTTCACTTTATGAGGCGGGACCATGGCCCTTAAGGGCCCGAAGCAGAGGTTTTTCAAGATGATGTCTAGCCCTTGTTGAGGGGCATCAGGAATAGTGATGAACACAACTCCCACTAAATCAATGGGTTTGATTTTCTCTTTCCAGCATAAGATTTTGGCTATAGGCTTAAGGAATCTTTTAAGTAATGACTTATGCTAGACATAGTTTCCGGGAGCCTTGCTGCAATTATACTGGAGGTTTTCTCCAAACCATCATCACAAAATGTCACCTGGGGAGAATGCCAGGCCTATTCATGACTCAGGCTTGTCTAGTTGTCCAGCTGCCAGGAGATATGTTTTTAAAGTCTAATCCTTTACCGCACATGTATGAGAAGTGGTAAGGGTTTTCAAGGGCACAGGTCATCAGGCTGAAGGCAAATTCACAAGGAAACAAAAGATGTATCAGCAACTATTCTACTTCATTGGGAGAAAAGGCTTAAGAAAAACACCTTGTTAAACACAGGGGTTAAAGCTCACAGAGGTCTGAAGATGATTTATATCATTTTCTTTATGATAAGATCCATATTAATGACACAGTTGCCACTTCTAAATATAGCAATAACTTAAAATATATTATTTTATAGCTTTTAAAAAATAACCATCATCCATAAGTTTCAAAACATTCACACTCACACAGTCCACATTTTGGTGTTTAGCCAGGAATAAAATTTTAGCAAGAAAATGGAAAAGCACCTTGGGAATTAAACATAGGACTTATTATTTAATTAGTGCTTGTGTTTCAGAGAATAGATTGCCACGTGGTTGTATTATTCAGGAGCCCTTCTAGTGCCCAACAATAACATCCATGTTTATGTCAAAGAAAACACAGTGGAAGTATCTTGCTATGGAAATAGAAAGTCATGACCATTACAGGGGAATTTGTTTTCAGTTTTCTGTAAGTTAGGAATAGATGGCCATGGTTTCTTTTACATCTTTCACAGGCTTTCTTAATAAAAGATTTGTGGAAACAATACACGGGCTGAGTTTGGGATGCAGAAAAAAACAACAACAACAACAAAAGAAAACTCATCTTGCCAAACAAATAAGACACTGTTAATTTTTTCACATCAAATGCATGGCTGTCTCATAAGACTATTAGAATTAACTCTGTACAGTAAGGGCCTCTTCCTCCACCAAGGACAGCTCCAGGGTGTTTTCATTAGTGCTGGTTTTCATCCTGAAGTTGAAAGAACCATAGAGTTTTGCAGACTCTTTGGAAGAGGCAAATCTGTTCCGACGATAGAGCTCCCCCTTCCACATAGACATCATTAGCAAGCAGGAGAGAACAACTCCCCCGAGGGTGAGGAGGCAGAGCCCAGCGATCACACAGCGGTCCAGGTGTGCACCTAGCCTTGCACTCTCTTTCTCTAGACGCTCCATCTCCCGGGCTGCCACTGTATTGGGATCCACTGTCACCTCCCGAGGGACAACATAAGAAATGATCACCAGCAAGATCCCCGTGACCAAGAACAAGATGGCACTGATGAAACCATAGTCTATGGACTTCCCTGAAGATGTGGCCTCTGAACTTGTGTCATCTTCCTCTTCAGATATCAAAGACATGGCAGCATTGTGGGACCATTCGTTGGGGTTTCCCCAGCCGAGATCTCCAGGGTGATTACCGTCCTTTGCTGTTGGGGACCTCTGACTTCTCTGTTCTATGTTGACATTCTCATCCACATAAGTGAAAGAAGTTTCTAGTTCCTGGCTGCAACAGTTGCAGACTTTACGATCTGGATCTGCTGTGACTTGGTTGTTTCCTGAGCCAGGAGGTCCTGGTGGGGAAAAGCTTGGCTGAATAGCATTGTCATGGAGCAAGGAGGTTGGGGGCGCTGGAGGCAGACTAAGACTAGACACTTCCTCTACAGCTGCTCTTGGTGTGGATGCGGAGATTTTCTGAGTGCAAAGGACAGCTGTGATGGCCGCCTCCTCTGCCTGGTCACCAAGAGTCTCTCCTGAAGTCCAGTCCATACCATTGCACAGGTCCTCTGGCCTGTTCCTCTTAGGCAGGGGATGGAGCTCCATGGAGACTGCTTGGAATCCCTGCAGCAACTTCCAGAAATTCTGCCAGTGGCCACACAGAGAAGAACGCAGTGGGTTCTAAGCCCATTTTATAGAGAGGCCTGCTCCTCGGGTCCCCATTTCTGTTATAGCCATGGAGGATTAAGGACACCTTGGCCTCAGTTCCTCATGAGAGGGACATGAATGGAAAGGGAGCCCAGTAAGAGAAGCGTATGGAAAGGGCAAATCTTCAGACTTGTCACCGGGTTGGCAGGGAGAAACTCAGGTCAGGGTAGAGAAGGAGCAAGGAGGAAGTGACAGTCTCTCTGGAGCGAGCACGCTGCCGTCACCAAGCCAAATTTATCCAGGGACTCACACATTCCCCAGACAGGATCCCTCAAACGAGAAGGCAGTTTTCCTGCAGAAAGACACAAAGGAGTAAAGGCAGGGCCCTGTTTAGCAGAGCTGTAGGATTTCTGGAGTTCTTGAGCAAGGGCAGACTTCCTAACAATTCAGTTAGAGTGCATGTTTATACTCCAGTTTGGAACAGATTCTGATACACATGAAAGCTTTAACGAAGGCAGGCTCCTATCAGCTGGATGCCACTGAATAAGCATCTTGACTTAGCCTTTGTGAACAGAAAGGATGACTGAATCAGCCAGTGACCAACAAGAGGAATCAGGACCAGTGACTCACTTAGTCGTGTATGGAGTAACCCAGGATACACAGCCCCGGGCCCTGTGTTAATAGAGTCATCTGCACCTCTGGTCTGTTTGGTCCATTCCCTGTTCCACAGGGAAAGCTTATGCACTCCGCTGCTCTGTCTGCAAAACACAGCGTGCTAGTCTGCTTCACACATGAGTACTACCTGCTCCCACTCACGAACGTCTCAGTGGGTGTGAGCTACTCCCCCTCCCTGCAGTGCGCTAACACACAAGCACAAGAAACCGTGCCCCCTCCCCAAAGTGTTTACAAGTTCATTGTCCAAGCTGAGGGAAAAGAAATGATAAACAGATGGCACTGGATCCCGGCAAAGAAGCAAGAAGCAATTTCCAAAGCTACCACCGTTGAAGCTCTCTGTGTATCCACAGTATCTCCTCCCTCTGCACCCAGAGCCTTGATGGGATGGTACTCCGTGTTGAACGGAAAGCCATCTGCCCATCTTTTCCTGCCTCTGCTAGCTTCCTGGGGGGGGGTCACTCTCCATTTTCAATAAATAGAAAGGATTTAGTCCGGGACTCTCTTTGTTTTTATTTCAATCCAGAGCCGTGATTAACTTTAAACCAAGGCTGGAGGATTACGAGCCAAAATCCCCAACTCTGGCAGCTGGAAACAGAGGTACACAAGCAAGCCTCACCTAAGACAGCCGGGCAACTCACAGAATGGAAAGGAAAAGAAAACCGACACGTTTTCTGCTGGACTTCACCTCCCCCTTCCTGGGCGCTGAAAAACAAAAAGTGAAACAACAAGAAAAGCAAAACAAAACAAACCCTCAGCGCTAAGTGCAAGAAAACCATAACTGGATTGAGTTTTCCCTCATCAAGCGGACTAACCCCCTACGGAAGGATCCTTCAAGGAAGGAAGCCACGGGAACCGGTTTCATCAATTACTGGAAAGAAACCCCTCACAGATGGATCCCTCGGGCATGAGTCGCTCTGATTAACCTTTTGCACAATTAACTAATCATATTAGACTGATAAAATCGGCAGGGTCCCTTGCGAGACTTCCAATTTATAACAAAGCAGGGAGATTCTCTCTCTCTCCCTCTCTCTCTCTCTCTCTCTCTCTCTCTCTCTCTCTCTCTCTCTCTCTCTCTCTCTCTCTCTCTCTCTCTCTCTGTCTGTCTGTCTCTCTCTCTCCCACTCTCCCGTCTCTCTCTCTGTCTCTCTGTCTGTTTCTCTCTCTCCCAGGTTTCCAGCCTCAGTGGATGATGGACAATCCCAGGGGACCAGCTAAAGGTCTCTTCTCTCCCCACCCATTTTCCCTCCTCTGGTCTGCTTAAAAGCTCAGCTTATGAGATTGCACCTCCAACGCAGGAAGCAGCAGCGTTTTTCCCTAGTCCGCTGCTCCTCGATTAAAGGCTGTAAAATACGGACAGAACTGACAGGGACAAGGCTAGTCTGCCGGAGACCACCAAGGGATGTGGGATGCGGGATGAGCGCTCGATTTACAGGACCCGCTGCTAGCACCAGGCAGGGGAGTCCCCAACAGGCTGCAAGATCAATCAGTTCCCCTGGGGAACTCTTGGCCCATCAAGGCACCTGCAGTCTGGCTGCATCCGCTGAGGTCCTGCAGGCACCTAGGGCGGGGAGTGGGGATGCTTAGCTCCAGGCTCCGGCTCTCCTTCTCTCCACACCGCTTGTTTTCTCCCCATCCCGCTCTCCGCCAACTCACCTTCTCCTTTCCGCTACCCAGTGAAGCTGGAGCGGGAGCACTCGCGTCCTCCTGGCTCCCTGAGAAAGTCCGCTATTCCCCAGCCGCAGCACTTGTAGCCGGTGTTCCCTGCTGGGTTCCGCTGGGTGGGCGGCGCCCGCGGAGTCGGACTGGGCGGGGCAGGGCGGGGCGGGGCGGGGAGGGGTGCTCCCTTCTGCTGAGCATCCCGGGAGATGTAGTTCAGGAGGGGTCCTCGCACGCCTGTCATTCGCTTTGTCCTGCTCCTCCAGGATTTTGCTCTTACAGAAAACAGTTACCTCCATCCACGCATTTACCTGCCTGGAGCTTCAAGCTCTGGCCTCTCTAAGATGACTGCGTCTCGTCTCCCTTCCCTCCTCATCCCTCTGTCTTCCCAGCGTCAAGTGCAGCCACGGGATTCAGAGGGAGGACTGGAGAAACAAGGGTTGCATTTAGTTCCAACCGTGTGCCAAGCAACTTGCGTACTTTGTCATATTTAATAGCCAAAATACATCTTCAAAGTCTTCTGTATAAAATGAGGAAGAAGACTCACGGGGATTCAGTGATCCTACCCCCCACCCCTTCCCATCCCCCGCCCACCAAGATTACAAACTCAATAAATAGCAGCTTTTGAAATAGTATCCAGGAGTGTGGTTCCAAAGTCATCACACCTTTCCCATAAAATAGGCCGAAATGTGAACACCAAGGGTAATGGTGTTGTGTTCTCCAGTTTAATCCCTGCACTTACTGTGAGTTACATCCTGTATCTGCTGAAGGTATGCTAGATGAGAAAATTAGAGAACAAAAGCAGTGTTCTTCATAGCTAGGACCTTTCCTATACGTCTTATTTAACTGAGTTATGACATTCAATTTTAGAGGTACTGTGAAAGTCCCCAAGTTTACAGAATACCAGGGATACAAGAGAGTAGTCAAATTCACCCCATTGGTGTTCAGTAAATTCTACGCGTGATGCTATACTAACCGACTGGGAAGGGGGCAGAGGTGAGAGAGGCAGTCAGATTTGGTAGGAAAACTGATCGTTGAAGCTGCTGAGGTTGTAGCTCTTGAGATAGGACAAGCTGAGTTCTTTAGGCAACACAATGCCCTCTGTTACCAGAGTAGTCTTTAACAGCCTACAGTCACACAGATTGGAAACCGTGCTCTGTGGACCATCTCCAGGTGTCCAGAACCTCCTTTGGAATGACTAAGATCATTGATTGGATTCCATGTAAGGAGCACTATCTCAGTTTGTTTTTCTTTTTTGCTTACAAGAGGCTCTCATAAATGCTGCAGTCACTTGAGAAACAGATCAGCATCCACAAGTGACACAACAAATAAAATAGCATCTATTTGTTTTACTTCACAAGAATTTCACAGAGTCAGTCTCATGGTTCCACGGAATTTAAAACCCAGCATCTTTGAAAACTGATTGTTCCACCGTTTCATTGTAATTCATTACCCTGTTAGTTCTGGATATGTGAGCCATGACTTCCTTGGCTCACTGTTCTGTTTTCCAACAAGAATATATTTTCTATGTTCCTCTATTCAACTCATCCTTCAAAGACACACTTGCCGACATTGTTTATGAGGGAACCTGTCAGTACTATATATCAGAAAAGGAAACAAAACACTGTTGGTGTCCACAAGGGAACGATTAAGATGGTAAAATATCTTGAGCTAATATTAAATTTAAATAAGCTGCAGAAGGAACTCAGGCTATTTAGTCAAAGGAAGACTGACGTTAGCAATATAAAAGCTAGATATTATATAAATTAAAGTTCATAAAGTTAAATGTATTTTACCTCATGGGTTTAAAAGGGGAAAACAGAACCAATGACAGTAATAGTATCTACTCGTGCTAATACGTTATCAATGTAGATGTTTATACTAACTTTGTAAGGAATGCAATGTTATTACACTCATTTTGCAACATAGAAATTAAGCTTTGCAAAGATGTATTTTTGCTCCCAAAATCCTAGAAGGGATAATCAGCATTCTGACTTGCATGTGTGTGATTCCATCCTGGGCCTCCTTGTTACCACGCTGTACTCAATAGTGTTTTGCCAACTTTTCTGCATGGAAGTCACATGTAAGAGGTTAAAACACAGGTGTAAACATAGAAGACTTCTCGTGCTAATCACCCTAATGCTGTGGCATCTTGGGACCCTACAGGAAAACTTTGTGGGCTAAGCCACAATTGTCATTAGATACTGGTGCAACTCAGATGTTGGGACACACAGCCTGGGAAGCTTCATCAGGTTTGTTAGGAGGCTGATTTGGCATTTGATGCAAGCAAGGGCACTCTAACAGTATGACATGGATTGTCTCACAAATTGTATACTACTAGAGAGGCTTCATTAAAAAGCAGAGCCACTTATTAGTAGTGTTAAAGGAGGGATTTACTTAATTGGGTTATGCAACCTCCATGGCCTCACTGATGAACTAATTCTAATTTACATGTCTTACATGAGGTACTTTCCATCTAGGCCCACTCCAAAGGAATCCATACCCGGTACATTTGTCAACATCGGAGTTTTAAATATTTATTAGCCACTATCTTGTGACATTTCCTGAATGGCTAGGTAACTACTAAGTGCTGTTTAACTTACACCTGAGGCTCTTGAACATTGAATGGCGACTGTAAACACCTAAAGTCACTACTGACAAATTGAACATCTTATATGATACAGAAGTTCAGTCTTTCTCTTTCATTCAGTGAAGAGGACAAAAGTCAATCAAGACTTGATATGACTATCAGTTATTATCTCAGTCCCCATTATCTCCATTATCATCACATAAACATAAAATAAAACAAAGCATTAGACTCCACATATTCTTTAATATTAAAAAGTTAATTTTGGGGCTGGAGAGATATCTCAGTGGTTAAACACACTTGTTCTTGCAGAGGACCTGCGTTCAATTCACAGAACCTACATAGCAACCCACAGCCATCCATATCTCCAGGTCTAGGAAATCTGACTCCCTCTTCGGACCTCCACAGGTACAAGGCAGAATGCTGACTCACATAAAATAAAATAAGCACCCCCCCAAAATTAAGCTGATTCTTTGTCAGCATACTACAAAGTTTCCTTCAGAAATTTGCAAAGAAAAATAGCAAAGGAGAATTGACTGTGGTCCAGAAAGACAAGATTTGCCAAACTTCTACTGACTTGAAAAATATCCCAACACCCAGCCGCCATCATACATTGAAGTATCTAAATCATTCCCCCAGAGTTCCTTGAAAACCAGCATTGTCTATTAGAGTCTGTAAGCATGACATAATGTAGCATATATCCAATAGCAAGTAGACCCACAGTATATGTGTACAAAGCCATTGGCCTTAGTAAAGTGATAGCATTAAGAATCTACATAAGGATTTCAATTTCATATAAATTTTAATGTCTCATGTTTACTCTGGTATTAGAGGACCAATCATATTAGATTAACTAGTAATTAAAATAGATTCCAAGTAAATTGACTGTTTTAAGTCAAGAATAGTACTGGGGCCCTTAACAACTAGCCTCTTGTAGTAATTACAAAGGATGTCATCAAATTTCCTCTCCTCAGACAAAATAATAAGGACTAATTGCCAATAAACTTCCTTAGAGGACTTAATGTTTTCAAGAGATGCTGAGCAGTGGGAAAATAAAAGAGATGATTTCTGAATAGTTTGGTTAAAGTTTGGAAATAGTCCAAGGAGTATGACCCATTTAGTGCTCCAAGTTGATGCTTCTAGGTTAAAGAAGACTGACAATGTCCACAATTTAAATTAAGGAAGATCTCATTTCTTAGGATAGCTCTATGAATTAAAAAATGCTAAATTGAAAAACTAGTACATATGCTTACAGTAGCTGTGCATGTTTGTTAAATAAGACCTATGGCTGAAGTCCGACAATCGCAGAGTCTGATAGTTACTCTTTTCCCAACAGGAATCCCCCCTAGCTACTCAAAGTGTGCTTCTTCCTCCTCCCCTCCCCCTCCCCCTCCTTCCCCTTCTCCCCCTTCTTCTTCTTCTCCTCCTCCTCCTCCTTCTTTTCTTGAGTTAATTTAGATAACAATAAAAGAAGTCAGGTCTCCCAATTTTTATTCACTAGTTCAAAACTTTTTAAACACTGGACAAATTGTAGAAAGTTGTAACTGTGAGAAACATTTGAGTATCAGAAATTTAAGAAGTGTATACCCAACTTCTATTGAGGATAAGTTAAAAAAAATCTGGCTAAAAATATGAAACACCCCTTGCTTGAAGACATACGAAGTAACTAGAGCTGCATTATTAGGCTCAAATCTAGAGTACAAATGTTCAGAGGCATGAAGCAAGCCCCTAGGGCTTCATTTTGCATGGATTGTTAGGTGAGTCCAGAGGGGATAGTGGGAGACTGAGGGGGTAAGG